ACCGTATTGGCCACCAATAGATATAGTAAGGTTACATATATCATATTGTAGTAAATGGTACAGTATTGACCACCAATAGATATTGTAAGGTTACATATATCATATTGTAGTAAATGGTACAGTATTGGCCACCAATATATATAATAAGGTTACATATATATCATATTGTAGTACATGGTACAGTATTGGCCACCAATAGATATAGTAAGGTTACATATATCATATTGTAGTAAATGGTAAAGTACTGACCATCAATAGATATAGTAAAGTTACATATATCATATTGTAGTAAATGGTACAGTATTGGTCACCAATAGATATAGTGAGGTTACATATATCTTATTGTAGTAAATGGTACAGTATTGGTCACCAATAGATATAGTAAAGTTACATGTATCATATTATAGTAAATGGTACAGTATTGGCCACCAATAGATATAGTAAGGTTACATATGTCATATTGTAGTAAATGGTACATTATTGACCACCAACAGATATAGCTAGGTTACATATATCATATTGTTGTAAATGGTACAGTATTGACCACCAATATATATAGTAAAGTTACATGTATCACATTGTAGTAAATGGTACTGTGTTGACCACCAATAGATATAGAAAGGTTACATATGTCATATTGTAGAAAATGGTACATTATTGGCCACCAACAGATATAGCAACCAATAGATATAGTATTGATGGTTACATATATCATAATGTAGTAAATGGTACATTATTGACCACCAACAGATATAGCTAGGTTACATATATCATATTGTAGTAAATGGTACAGTGTTGACCACCAATAGATATAGTATTGATGGTTACATATATCATATTCTAGTAAATGGTACCGTATTGACCACCAATAGATATAGTAAAGTTACATATATTATATTGTAGTAAATGGTACAGTATTGATCACCAATAGATGTAGTATTTATGGTTACATATATCATAGTGTAGTAAATTGTACAGTATTGGCCACCAGTAGATATAGTAAAGTTACATATATCTTATTGTTGTAAATGGTATACACTATTGACCATTTTTATTGATACAACTTTGGTGTCTGTAAAATAGTAATAGTTTTAGGAAATATTGCAATATTTTTTCCTGCCACCGTATTTTATTAATGCTTAGAACAAGTAAATTATATTTTTTGAAACCTTGACACTTTTAAAAGATTTAAAGGCGAGGACTTACAATTAAACTTTAACTCGGTATAGTAATGGCATTCTAGAGAGCATTTAGTAACGTTTTAGCGAAGGAGACCATTATGCTGTCACACAGACACTGTTTCTGCATGAAAGCTCATTATTTAGAGAGAGAAAAAATAGATTCTCTTCCAATGTATATTACTAATGTTAAATTGAAAATGGGCAAAAATAATTATATAGATACCTCATTATATGAAAAAAATAGATTTTTATCACTCGTAGGGATCCTCTGAGCCTGGTAAAGAACCCAACCACAAACCTTCCACTTAATTGTTAGGGTAAACTGGTCGATCAGTACACGGTCATTTGTATTGTCTAATATGCCTGTTATTTTCTTTAGTGTATGCAGAATGGTTCTACATTAACAACGATCAATGCTTCTGATGCTGATGTAGCTCAAAATGGAAAGATCACATTTTCCTTTGCTCGGGAAGATGATTCAGACCCTGGTCCATTCGTTATAGATAAGACTACTGGTGTGATTAAATTGAACGGCACTGTCAGTAACCAAAAGCAAGCAGAGTACAAGGTACGGTCATGTGTTGTATCCCAGTGCCTCATTAATTGAGGTACTACAAGGTACGTTCACTTGTTATATCCCAGTGCCTCAGTAATTGAGGTACTACAAGGTACGGTCACTTGTTATATCCCAGTGCCTCAGTAATTAAGGTACGACAGGGTACGGTCACGTGTTATATCCATGTGCCTCATTAAACGAGGTACTACAGGGTACGGTCACGTGTTATATCCCAGTGTCTCAGTACTCGAGGTACTATTAGAGGACAACTTTTAACTCAGCGCGACTGGCGTGAATCTATTATGGGTAGTGACGTAATCATGTGTAGGTATCCAGTTATTTAGTTCCTTACACAAGCGTAATTTTGGATTTATTATTAATAAGCAGTTAATGAACAGTTTTTTAATTAAAAAACCCACCATTTGATGAATTTGCAACGTAATCTAAAACCACATTACTATCAACATTTGCCATCATAATGTTTTATCGGCTGTATGTTATATGCAAGTAACTAAACAACTAAACATTTGATGGTGTTACAGGTTAAAATCAATGCTACCGACAATGGGACGCCAAAACCACTAACGAGCCTGTCCTCACCTGTAAAGATTCTGATCAAAGATGTAAACGATCAACCACCTGTGTTCAGTTCCAACGAAACGTCAGCTAATGTGAGGGAGAACACTGTGGATGTTACCGTTACCACTGTGGTAGCTCATGACGCCGACGCAGACTCAGTCACGACATACTCCATCAGTAAGTGATCTGTCAAATTCTGACTTTTTACCGGAAACCGTTGTACACTGAACTCGATATGCTGTACTATGAGATGATGCGCATTTTCCTTCATCCTGATTATTTAGATTAAAATAAGGTGAATGCAGTCGATTTGTGATATAGACTCGGTGCTACTATTTTTAGAATCAGGTTACAATGTAATATTCATGACGTCAGTTCAATTGTAACATCACAATGCGTCCAAATGCAGTAATTTTTCTTCGTACAATTTACATACGTTTTATCTTTGTACGATGATCAAGGCATCTAATGTAACAGTTAAGTTCTTTTATTTCGGTAAATTTGTGGTTATATGGACCAGAGAAAGTGATATTAACATACATTCCTTTTGGTTAATATCACTTTCTCAGGCCCATACAACCAAATACTCATCTTACCAAAGTCCATAATTGTTAATCAGAGTTGTAGTAGTTGTTTATGTTGCAATACACATCTGATATATTTAAACTTTTTTTATGGTCGCAATCAATATATGACATTAATTAGCAATACATGTTTGTAAGAACTGGGATAAACTTCGGAACGTTGGTCAGGAAATGGCTGGCACAGCGTCAATATATGTTTGATTTTGTGGTTAAACGCTTACTTGGTCAAAGTGACCGCCGATCACATAAATATTTTGATTAACGTTTTCAGTCTTATTTAAACTGGTTGATATTGGACTCGTTTGTCTTGAAAATCTTACAGAAGTTGCCATATTATGCTCTCTTCCGTTATAATATCTATTATTTCATTAGAGGACATCGGGTCCAACTACAAAGATTTCCGCATCAACGAGACCACTGGATTGGTAACGATAATAAAACCTTTAGACCGTGAGCTGACCCCCACAGTCAACTTCACGGTGGAAGCGAGGGACGCCTCACTGAGAAACGAAACTTGTAACGGTACTGACGCAATTGCGGCGATGAGTGACACCCAGATTATCATCGTGACACTGGATGATGAAAACGACAGCCCACCTGTATTCAAGTCGAAAGAATTCGATACCGGTATAAGGAAAAACATTAAACTACTTACGTCAATTTTTGACTTTGTAGTAAGTATTTAAGACGAAACATGCATAAAATAAGAGTGATTATTTCCTTCAAGTTCTAGATGTTAGCTAAAAAAAAACTTCTGTGTCATTTACATATGAGTGCAGAATACTAACTAAGAACTAACCTTCATTTTAACGGAGGATACGATAATATGAAAACATTTGGCAACGAACATACAATAAGGTGGGCGAAAGAGAAGTATACTAATCAGGTTGAAATATACACTGTAGAGAAGACTGGCGAGGTAACATTACACACTGGGTAGTAGACTGACCAGGTTACATTACACACTAGGTAGTAGACTGACGAGTTTACATTACATACTGGGTAGTAGACTGACGTGGTTACATTACTCACTGGGTAGTAGGCTGACCAGGTTACATTACACACTGGGTAGTAGACTTTCCAGGTAACATTACTCACTGATAAGTAGACTGACGAGGTAACACTACACACTGGGTAGTAGACTGACGAGGTAATATTACAAACTGGGTAGTAGGCTGACGTGGTTACCTTATATACTGGGTAGTAGACTGACGAGGTAACATTTCATACCGGATAGTAGGCTGACGAGGTAACATTACACACTGGGAAGTAGACTGACGAGGTAACATTACACACTGGGTAGTAGACTTTCTAGGTTACATTTCACACCGGGTAGTAGACTGACGAGGTAACATTTCATACCGGATAGAAGGCTGACGAGGTAACATTACACATTGGGTGTAGACTGACGTGGTTACATTACTCACTGGGTAGTAGGCTGACCAGGTTACATTACACACTAGGTAGTAGACTGACAAGGGTACACTACACACTGGGTAGTAGACTGACAAGGTAACATTACACACTGGATAGTAGACTTTCTAGGTTACATTTCACACCGGGAAGTAGACTGACGAGGTAACACTACACACTGGGTAGTAGACTTTCCAGGTCACCTTTCACACAGGGTAGTAGACTGACGAGGGAACATTTCATACCGGATAGTAGGCTGGCGAGGTAACATTACACACTAGTAGTAGACTGACGAGGTAATATTACAAACTGGGTAGTAGACGGGCAAGATTACATTACACACTGGGTAGCAGACTAACCATGTTACCTTTTATACTGGGTAGTAGACTGACGTGGTTACATTACTCACTGGGTAGTAGGCTGACCAGGTTACATTACACACTAGGTAGTAGACTGACAAGGGTACACTACACACTGGGTAGTAGACTGACAAGATTACATTACACACTGGGTAGTAGACTGACGAGGGAACATTACACACTGGGTAGTTGACTTTCTAGGTTACATTTCACACCGGGTAGTAGACTGACGAGGTAATATTACAAACTGGGTAGTAGACTGACAAGGTAACATTACACACTGGGTAGTAGACTTTCCAGGTTACATTTCACACAGGGTAGTAGACTGACGAGGTAACATTTCATACCGGATAGTAGACTGACGAGGTAACATTACACACTGGGTAGTAGACTTTCCAGGTTACATTTCACACCGGGTAGTATACTGACGAGGTAACATTTCATACCGGATAGTAGACTGACGAGTTAACATTACACACTGGGTAGTAGACTTTCCAGGTTACATTTCACACAGGGTAGTAGACTGACGAGGGAACATTTCATACCGGATAGTAGGCTGACGAGGTAACATTACACACTGGGTAGTAGACTTTCCAGGTAACAATACACACTGGGTAGTAGACTGACGAGGTATATTATACACTGGATAGTAGACTGACGAGGTAACATTTCATACCGGGTAGTAGACTGACGAGGTTACCTTATATACTGGGTATTAGACTGACCAGGTTACTTTTTATACTGGGTAGTAGACTGACGAGGTAACATTACACACTGGGTAGTAGACTGACCATGTTACCTTTTATACTGGGTAGTAGACTGACGAGGTTACTTTATATACGGGGTAGTAAACTAACCAGGTTACATTACACACCGGGTAGTAGGCTGACGAGGTTACATTATATACTGGGTAGTAGACTGATTAGGTTACCTTTCACACCGGGTAGTAGACTGACGAGGTAACATTTCATACCTGGTAGTAGACTGACGAGGTTACCTTATATACTAGGTAGTAAACTGACCAGGTTACCTTTTATACTGGATAGTAGACTGATGATGTTACCTTATAACGGGTAGTAGACTGACCAGTTTATCTTTTATACTGGGTAGAAGGCTGACGAGGTTACCTTATATATTGGGTAGTAGACTGATCTGGTTACATTACACACCGGGTAGTAGGCTGACGAGGTTACCTTATATACTGGGTAGTAGACTGACCAGGTTACCTTTTATACTGAATAGTAGACTGATGATGTTACCTTATATACTGGGTTGTAGACTGATGATGTTACTTTATATACTGGGTAGTAGACTGACCAGGTTACCTTTTATACTGGGTAGTAGACTGACCAGTTTACCTTTTATACTGGGTAGTAGACTGACGAGGTTACCTTATATATTGGGTAGTAGACTGACCAGGTTACATTACACACCGGGTAGAAGGCTGACGAGGTTACCTTATATACTGGGTAGTAGACTGATGAGGTTACATTGTATACAGGGTAATAAACTGACGAGGTTACATTTCACACCGGTTAGTAGACTGACGAGGTAACATTACACATTGGGTACATAGTAGACTGACCAGGTTACATTACACACCGGTTAGTAGGTTGACGTGGTTACCTTATATACTGGGTATTAGACTGATGATGTTACATTATATACTGGGTAGTATAATGACCAGGTTACATTATATACTGGGTAGTAGACTGACGAGGTTACCTTATATACTGGGTAGTAGACTGACGAGGTTACATTACACACTGGGTAGTATAATGACCAGGTTACATTATATACTGGGAATTAATATGCATAGTGGCAATGTATATATCTTTTTAATTTCGTTATATAGATCAACCAGCCGTACCAAATCACACATGCGTATGTTCTCGTTCTTCAACCCTGTTTACGACTGCTTTGTTTTATGTGTTTGGTGTTCTCCCAGTCAGATGATGACGGTTGTCTACGTAGACACCGCCATAAAGGGAAAGTTCATGACTCTAATTACCATTTTAAAACTACCTACGATGTCATAAAGCTGCTTCTACACGCGATTATTATGTGTGTTTTTTTTTAAATATTTAACGTGTTTCGTCTAATAATAATATGTTGTCAATGAAAGGTCGGCATTTCCTGTTGAAGGTATAGCATCCAGTCAGAGCAATTCCTTAATGGGATTTTAACTTTTTTTGTCAAAGAATAAGGTATCGGACAGTGATACTGAGATCAACAGCGTCCATTCATTTGAAATCCACAATATTACGATGCCCGATAGCATTGTTGATGCAGTAAAAAATGTGCCACCGTGTAAGGATACTGTAGCAGAACGAGCAGTATGTCTGTCCAGTAATGGAACCGTCACAACAAACATGGTGTTTGAGGAGAACATGAAGGGCACGATGGAAATAATGGTTGTAGCGAGGGACAAGGCTGGGAACAGTACAACTAAACTCAAGGTACAGTGTAAGACACGGAACTGACCAGCTAAAGGTAAAACCATTGGCGTGAGTGTAGACAGGGAACACTTCTGTTAATATTAGTGCGGAACTACGTTGAGCATGGAGATAGGAAAACGTACAGCTAAACACAAGCTAGGGTGATACGTGTGAACGGAGATAGGGATCAGAACAGCTAAACACAAGCTAGGGATATTGGTTTGTATTGATATAGGGATCAGAACAGCTAAACACAAGCTAGGGATATTGGTTTGTACGGAGATAGGGATCGGAACAGCAAAACACAACCTAGGGATATTGGTTTGTACGGAGATGGGGATCGGAGCAGCTAAACACAAGCTATGGATATTGGTTTGTACGGAGATAGGAAACAAACAGCACAGTTAAACACAACCTAGGAATATTGATTTGTACCGAGATAGGGATCGGAACAGCTAAACACAACCTATGGATATTGGTTTACACGGAGATAGGAAACAAACAGTACAGCTAAACACAACCTAGGGATATTGGTTTGTACGAAGATAGGAAACAAACAGTACAGCTAAACACAAGCTAGGGATATTGGTTTGCACGGGGATAGGAAACAAACTGTACAGCTAAACACAAGCTAGGGATATTGGTTTGCACGGAGATAGGAAACAAACAGTACAGCTAAACACAACCTAGGGATATTGGTTTGTACGGAGATAGGAAACAAACTGTACAGCTAAACACAACCTAGGGATATTGATTTGAACGGAGATAGGGAACAAACAGTAAAGCTAAACACAAGCTAGGGATATTGGTTTGTATTGAGATAGGGATCAGAACAGCTAAACACAAGCTAGGGATATTGGTTTGTATTGAGATAGGGATCAGAACAGCTAAACACAAGCTAGGGATATTGGTTTGTACGGAGATAGGAAACAAAATGTACAGCTAAACACAACCTAGGGATATTGATTTGAACGGAGATAGGGAACAAACAGTAAAGCTAAAAACAAGCTAGGGATATTGGTTTGTATTGAGATAGGGATCAGAACAGCTAAACACAAGCTAGGGATATTGGTTTGTACGGAGGTAGGGATCGGAACAGCTAAACACAAGCTAGGGATATTGGTTTGTACGGAGGTAGGGATCGGAACAGCTAAACACAAGTTAGGGATATTGGTTTGTACGGAGATAGGAAACAAACTGCACAGCTAAACGCAAGCTAGGGATTTTGGTTTGTACGTAGGTAGGGATCGGAACAGCTAAACACAAGTTAGGGATATTGGTTTGTACGGAGATAGGAAACAAACTGTACAGCTAAACACAACCAAGGGATATTGGTTTGTACGGAGAAAGGAAACAAACTGCACAGCTAAAGACAATCTAAGGATATTGGTTTGTACGGAGATAGGAAACAAACAGTACAGCTAAACACAACCTAGGGATATTGGTTTGTACGGAGATATGAAACTGCAGAGCTAAACACAAGTTAGGATTATTAATATGTAACAGTACAATCAAAACAAATGATTTAATGTGTATGAAAATAGGGTATAGCGCAGCTAGACACATCACAGATTGATGATATTACGTATGAGTGTTACTATTTGCATGAAAGTTGAAAATAGAGCGTTAGGGACATGTACTCGTGGTATTTCATATACAACTATCATAGCTACACACTATTAATCGCCTATTTCCATAGGGATCGCCTTGGGATGAGGACATGACCAGAACCTAAGTCGGTGTGGGATTTAGGCGACATATAGCGTTATCACGAACTTTGCTTGAATGAAATAATGAAAAAAAACTATCATGAATTCATTGCAGAATCAAATCAAACTAAAACAACAGACCCTTGGCAGTCTGGATATTTGGAAAACAAACAGCTTACATCGATTACGATACAACAATGGTCGCTTCATGCCTTTAAATAATGAGAAAGCATTCGGTGTTACATGTAGGTGTACAACGTACGCATGTGATGTGGCTTCGAGCATGAATTGTTACTAGTGACAGTGTTTTCAATTGCTCTTTTCGTAATCGAATTATCAATTGCATTCTTTTGCAGATTGATATTATAGTTGATAGCCAAATGGCAAGAATGGTATTTGGTAGCAGCAAACAGCGGGTTGAAGACATCAAAGACAAAGTCACAGGGTGAGTTTTAATTCATAATAACAACATGTTAATCTAAATATAAACGAAAGAATCATATTTTTTTTATTTACATATGAAAGTTACAACATATCAGACCATGAATATAAGTTCCTTTGGAGAAAATAAGCCCTTAATTATATTTGAATTGGTGTCTTGTAGCATAAAGTTTACACTGTTCTTCTTTTAAAGAAATTATTGGCAAAACAACATATTTTTCTCTCTTAAAATGGACGTTTTCAGTGAATTTCAACAACACTACTTAATTAATCTTGGTGTGATATATCACCCAGGATCAAACTGGTTTGGCCATGCAAGTTTGTAACCAATGCAGAGTGTTGTTTATGTGGATGTCTGCAGCCCGTATACCGAGTTGCTTTACAAGTTTAAAGTCGACACTTTTTGTTAAAAGGTTAATTTCGTTATGCAAGGTTTTTACAAAACTGTCAATAAACACATGCAACTATATATCAAAATTACATGGAAAACTGATATTATAAGTAAATGTAGTTTTATTGTAACCTTAAAGTTACCCAGGAACTGGAACCCACCACACATTCTTTGTCTTTTCCAGGGTACTGACCAATCTGACCGGGTACACTTTCGTGCCGGACGAGGTCAGTGCATACATTAAAGACGACGGCAGTGTGGATGTTACTCAGTAAGTACATGTCTGTACAGTATATTAATGTTATTCAGTAAGTACATGTTTGTACAGTATATTGATGTTATCAGTAAGTACATGTCTGTACAGTATATTGACGTTACTCAGTAAGTACATGTTTGTACAGTATTTTGATGTTATAAGTAAGTACATGTTTGTACAGTATATTAATGTTACTCAGTAAGTACATGTCTGTACAGTATAGTGATGTTACTCAGTAAGTACATGTTTGTACAGTATATTAATGTTACTCAGTAAGTACATGTCTGTACAGTATAGTGATGTTACTCAGTAAGTACATGT